TATATATGGAAAGTTAAGAAATCATCATACAATAATTGAGAAAGTGCAACAGAAAAAAAAGAAAGGGGGTTTCTGATGATTTTGAAATCTTTTCTACTAGGTAATCTATTATCCTTATGCATGAAGATAATAAATTCGGTACTTGTGGTAGGACTCTGGATTTCTTACCACATTCTCTATAGGGCCCTCTTATCACTTCCTTCTCCGAGCTATAAGGCGCCTACAGTTACCCAATAGGTGCGCTGGAAGAGGAGATCAACGCCCAACTCTTCATCCATTGCAACCTTGCAAGCTCTTTTGTGGGGACACTTCAACTATTTGGCTGGGTCTGGGTGACCCATAATATTATACCCCACACTTATACAGGCTTTTTTGTCCCCACCATGGTCTAGACATGGCATTTATCTTTGGTGAGCCACAGAAGCTACCATTCTCAAGGTCATTTGGTAGGAGCGCAACAACCGGATTTTTAGAGGAGAGATGACTACCTTAATGGCCTGCTCAATAAAGTCAAATCCTTGGTCACCTTCTCGACTAAGAATAACAAACTCTTTCAGAACTACCCTCTCTCGGACTTCCACCTTAATTGGAACAACCTGCTGACCCTTAGACAAGCACGCAACTCTTGCTATTCTATCTGGAGACCACAGGAGCAGGGCTAGGTCAAGCTCAACTTCGACAGTTGCTCCCTCAGCAACCCAGGCTCTGGTGGTATAGGGGGCATCTTCAGAGATTCTTGTGGTGCCACGCTTCTCTCCTTTTCCCATTGCATTGGCTAAAGCAATTCCCCTGTGGTCGAAGCTTTAGCCCTTCCCATGGGACTTCGCAAGTTCAATCCATCTTGGTGTGCAACCTTGATTATTGGGGGTGATTTCAAAAATGTCATGGCATGGGCATCTAAATCCCCCCCCTCCTCCTTGGAGATTGGAGTGCATTTCACGGTTCCACCTTTGCAGGGATATACGTGGAGGGGGAAGCCAATGCCGCAGCCGACGCCCTTGCTAAGGATGGCACCTCATAGAAGAACACTCAGGAGACTTTTGAGCACCTCTTTGAGCTTTAGACCTTACCTATTTGTTACTTTCCTATTGATCCTAGGCTTGTGTAGCATTTTTGGACCTCGTAAGGAGTTTTTGTATACGAACATCCGGTTTGTGGGTGCTTCAATCTTTTGTACGTCCGTTTCATCTATACATAAGTTAACTATTTCCAAAAAAAAAAAAGAAGCCTGCTCTGAATGTCCCTTTTTTTGCTAAAGTATACCAGAGAATTTGCCTCATGCAACAAATATGTAAAAGTAACATCTAAATTTTAATGACAGACAAGCTCGAAACTTTGATCGAATTATGTGTTTTAGGCAACAAGGACAGGGGAAGACCTTTTTGTCCCAAGGAATGACATTTTGGGAGTCGCCTTCAATCAAAAGAGAGGTTCTCAAATTCTTGTTAAACACTTAAGACCAGTGAGTAGTACTTGGGCTTCAGCTGAAGATGTGTCTGAGAAACCAACGGGACCTGAATAGGTTAACAGGATTGATCCCATATGGAGCCTAAACACTCCCGCAATGCCGGCCAACCCAAGGTTGGCCGAAGAGCACCTGTCAAAGTTGAGTTGGGTGTAAAAAGACGCCGAACCTAATTAGAATGGTTGTCTTGTTTTTTGTATGAATTTTGTGTGTGTCTTGCCATTTTGTACAGATTTTGTTTTGGGCTTTCACTATATCAATATAGATCTAACATTATCAAAAAATAAAAATAAAAAGCCAAAACAAAAAAAGAAAGAAGTTGAGTTTGGTGACTCCAAACTCCGGTGGGTGATTGTCATTGGGGGCAGACCATATAACGTGTCTCCAACTCTGGCCCAGGGCAACCAAGAAGTAAAACCTGATAGATTTATGATTCCGGGACTAGAATAATGGTGGGTTGAGGCAATCGTAGATGGAGATTATTTTGCTCTTGCCCTCAAAGATGCACCTGCTCCAGTATACCCAGATGGACCAGATGCAGGCGAAAAATAGAAATACACAAAAGAAAAAGGGCCACTATAGCCACATGGACCCGATGGAGAATGGGAATGGGATACCTTTCCTCTACATACAGTCCCGGGTAAGTGCCTTGTTAAATACAACCAAGTAAACCAACCAAATGATTTGGAGGAGCAGGGGTGAACCCGGCCTTTGAGATCATGACAGGGCTTCCATTCGAGGTCATGGGGCACCATCGAAGGAGGAACCCAAGAATAAACCAGTAGTGGGCAGGCAGCAGACCAACTTGTCACTGCCTGAGTGGATTGTGTAGTGGTTTCTGAAGAATAGCCGACAATGACGCCAATTCTGTGGCTTCGTTGCCATCCAGGTTGTGCCTAAACCTAGCATCCATATAATCTAGCCTTCTAGTTACTCGTACTAGAGCAAGACAGTTGCTTCTGATCGGCAGCCGTGAAGATAAGATTTGGGAAGTCGAGCTCCAAGGATTAGAAGCTCAACTGAAGATCCACCCAAAAACACGTGGTCCCCAGTTTTTGCTACATATAAAATTGAATATTGGTTGAGAAAGCCATGAGGCTGCTAACAATAGCTTTCCAAGCTCATGAGCTTGACTAGTGGCTCTTCCTCTATGTAGCCAAAAAGCGGCTTCATAGCAATAATTGTGTTATAATCACCATTTGCCATAGGTGATCATTCTCTGTGTGGGTACTCCCATAGCTATTTGTCCAGCAACAGAGAGTTACATTCCCTAAGCTTTCTGAAAAGAAAATCTTGTTTCCTGCCATAGCCATATTTTGCTCCATGGTTTTTCATTTTAATGGAAAAAAAAAATCTTGTTTCCTGGGATAGCAAGAGGTAATCGACCACAGGCAATTCAAGTACTGAGCCAATTAAGATGCACACAGTCATAGCATTAAAAGTTACAAAATTATCTAATAGCCCAATCTCATTACATACATCGGGAATCAGCTTAGTTAACCCATAACTGTCTAGTGTGAGAATTAGAGTGATCAAATAACCTTGTAGAGCATGGAAGGCAAAAACACATGGAAGTTGAACATCATAATATCGAGAAGATGTTCGTGATTAAAGTACAGGTAACCACATTTTACGACTAACGCGTATACAAACAAGAAACTAAAATAATAGAGATAAACTCTTCAGACTAGCATGCTAACTTAAGAGAGAGCACTTAGATATTTGTTGGCTGACTCAAAACTTGAGTCAATTCAACAAACCTCCGGCTCAAATTGACCCATAACATGAGCTGGTCGACATGATGGGGTTATTGATGAAAAAACCCTTACAAGGCCCTAAGGAAGCACATATCGTTTTATATAACTTTGACCCAACACAATATTATTTTGACTATACCTGATTTTGCTCCAGTTTGGGTTGACAATGGGTCTTGAGAGACCTGATTGCATTTGGAAACTACAGAGATAGCATCAAAGTGGCATTGTGCACATAGCATGGGCAGCAATGGCAACTTTTCCCTCACACTTTTTCTCCAGTCAGATATGTCTTTAGCCCACTTTACTGTATCGTGTACGTAATCCATCAAGAGACTAATGAACAAAATATTCTCACATCACACAAACTAAGAACTTAATAATTCTAAATCACAACCAAGAGCAGCAGAGCTCCTTTCCAAGTCACAAGGCAGAGTTCATCTTGAAAGCTAACAGTTGCTTAATGGGGTGGAGTTGAACTAAGTGATCAGCAGGGAAATTCCTTTATATAACGCCAACAAATAAACTCTCTTCATAGAACAATCCATTCAAACCTCTGATTCAAGTATACCAGATTAAAGCTCTACATTCCCAGCCTTTCTTAAAAACTATCAACATGAGAAATATCTTAACTTTTGTTCAAAAGAAAATTTCTTTACTTAAAAGCAGGGATTGGAAAATCGCCGATCCGGATAAAGATTCGTTTGTGACCATGCCGATTCCTAGTCAGACTAAACGCTTTGATAAACATATAGAATATAATATATATAAAATATACCCATTGGCAAGTATGGGTGGCTGAAAGTCACTTGGTCGGAGGTTCAGCCCTCCATTTGATGCTCTAATTGTACTTATCATTATTTTCTCAACCGATAATATTACATACTAGTATACCACATATTATATGGTATGTGATATTCTAGCAATTAGTTGGAACAGCTTAGTTGGCTAGCGTATGTGGCTTTATAGCACTTGGTTGGAGGCTTGAACCCTCCCTAAGCACTAATAGTATAATCCTCCCTTTATTTAGGTTTCTCTTCTATTTTATTATTTTGCCCTATAGCTGATCCAGCTGGTCCGGTTCGCCACTCGGGATTAGGATCGGTGATTGGGCGAGCCGCCCCACCAAGCCATATTTTAAAACACTACTTAGAAGTAACAGCTATACGAGAAATTCTTATATAATCAGATTGCTAAAGGCTTTGGAAATATCCTAATTCCTTTTTCTTGAAAATGCATTAAAAAAATGATGTATCTAAAAATCCAAATATTAAAAGCTTATAGGCATATTACATTTTGCACTAATAAATAAATGGGAGGAGTTTGGCCTAAGAAGGGTGAGGACCTTAAACTTTCTCTTAACTCATCCCAAGCCCAGGTAAAGGAGGTGGGTTGTGTTAGGTAGGCAGTCAACATAAAATTTGTCAAAACATTCTATGAATCCTGAATCGAGGTCATCTGCTTATGCTAAGGTGTTGCATGTAAGATATGCACTGTACCGGAAGGTATGGCACTCAATAGAGCAAAATGGCCGACCAAATTTCATGTAGCCGACTCCAAATAGTTGGGAAAAGGCTCTGATGATAATGATGATGAAATAAATGGGAGGAGTTCAAAACTCACAATGTGGAAGATGCTTACTAGAACCTTTCAATAAAGATGCAGCTGAAACAATATTATAACAAATACACAATGCACATGGAAATATAATCAATATTGTAAACATTACTCATACAAAAAGGAATAAGATATAAAGAAACTCCAATCTTCAAGAGACATACCTCATAGATGCATGCATATTTGCTAGAAAAGATGGAGGTAATATGTTTGATCCAACATCGCTCTCCAGAATTGCATTTATTGGAAACCTTTCTTTCAAACCCATGGACGTATTAGCATACCTATCAAATCTACATTCTAAAGAAGATTGGATAGCATTAGTCTTTCGCTTCTTTACTTGACCCTCAAGATTTTGGATTAATGGTTTTACTGATGGACTCCTATTTAAGAAGTCGAAATAAGTCCTACACAGGCATTCTTCTGATAGCTTGAATTTCATGATATCATCATTGCCAAAAATTTGCAATTCATTATTCTCATGATTACTTGTGCTTGCTACATTAGAAAACTGAAGTTCTCCTTTAGGATGCCTAGCAAGAACATAATGTCTTGCGTTTGTACGCTCTTGTAGCATATCTAGAGCTTTTGAACAAACTGACTCAACATCAGCAGTATGTGATCCAAGAGTCCTTAAGTCAGCAGGTAGATGAGATGCATCTTTTCCTTCCAAAGGTTTTGATTTTGACTTCATCTCCATATACTGAAAATTTAAAAACTAAATATTACAAATCAGCAGTAAAGAGATGGCCTTCATAAAAAGAAAGAAGAGATATAAAAGCAAGCAGAGAAAGATAAGATGTAAGCACCAAAACAATAGTGGCCAAAATCAACAAGAAAGCAAAAGAGAATCATTGGAATGTATTACTGTGTTTAGAATATCAAAAGATTCAAAACAAACAATGGATAATATCTCTTTCACAGAAATCTACATTTCTGTTATGGTATGATCTAGAAAAATTTCATTATGCACATAAAACAGAACTTGGAAAATGAAACCTCAACCAAAATCTGAGGTATGCAGAGGCACTCTTTTGCTTCTTCTTTTATTAAGAAAGACTTTCATTGAGAGAATGACAGGGATGAAAAGCAATAAAAATCAACTACTACTCCGACAGCATACATCTAAACTCAAAACCATGTGTATCCCCACCAATACACAATATGATACAAATATTACACATCATAAGTTAAAAGTAATGAGTAACGTTGACTTTCAATACTAACCCTCAAGATGGAAAGAGAAGCATAGATATCTTGCTTCGAAGGAAGTCAAATCAAGTTGGCCATGGGACAAGGCATTGGATAATATTTCTAGCAAAAACATCTATTATTCAATTTATAGGCATTAGTAGTGACGTAGTGTGATCCTCTACCTTATCTTTGACGGAGTAGAGGCAAGCCACCGCCATATGTTTTGTCCTTTCACAATAAATTGGATTTGGAGCAACATGCATGGGACTCATATTTTCGCAAAATACGTTTACCAGTCTAGATTAAGCAGAGGCCATAGCCCACTTTGTTCAGTTAATGCCCTTGATCCATCAAGGAATTATGGTTTCTTTTGATTCCAGGCAGCTAGTTGCTGCCTGCACTTACAATATCTTGCGCCTTGTCATTACTAGCTGCCTAAACTTACAATATCTTGTGCCTTGTCATAGAATTCACCATCTTGGTGTGCTGCCCAGTTCCCTTGGCGTATCTTGTAAAATCAGATACTAGAATTCCAAACACACTAAATCCATTTATTCATGACATGTGGAACTTCTAAACGTGGAATATGTCCATGCATGAATCCATTGAACAACACAAACAGCATTGTGGTTCCCAGTATTGAACTAATGAGAAATAAATTTATCCCCAAGTTGAAGTTATGACCTAGGATAAGTTAATGAGACTTTCCCCCTTCAGCCTATAAGTTGCGGTTGGCTTTAAGCAGTGTTTCAAAACTCAGCTGAGTTGACTTGGAATCGGATGAGTAACTCGGCCAAGTAGTGGTGCCCATACTCCGGAGTATGGAACTTGTACATTAGTCGGGAAACAATGTTCACTATACTCCGAAATACAAGGGGGGCATATAACCCACCCCATTTCATATTTTTCTTCACATATTTGCAGCAAAAACCTTCATTTTGATCCAAATTTACAAAATATACTAGAAAATTGCAACGTCTAGAATTTCTAACATATTTTGTAGAATGATTGATAATCATTGCAACTTTCTAGCATATTTTGAAAAGTTACAAAAATGCCACAAAATGCATGAATAACACAAACAATAGTAGAAAAAGAAAAAGACATCATTTTTCTCACATCTGGTAGATCAAAGAAATTGCTGTTGTTTTTTTTTTTGGCCCAATTTTGAAAAGCAATGATTTCTCTGAATCCAATGTTGATCCTTGATGAAAACCAAACCTGGCCTTATCTTTGTGTTCTTGATCATACCATAGGCTAGTTGTTCCAAAAAAAAAAAAATCGACATCAGACTTTTTTAAGAACCTTGGATCTCTTATATCCAAATAGGAACCCATAATTTGTTTGGGGGTTTTGTTTCACTTTCCAGCTGCATAAAGAAACTCTGACAAGGATTTGAAGCCTCGACTCGCACTGAAGACAGATCAGGCAATCGGCCTCAAAATTTCAGGTAAATCCTATTTTTTGTGATTTAAATATGTAAGATTGGTTGAATTTTTAGGATTATCAATCATTCCACTATAATTTGTGTCATTCATGTATTTTGTGGCATTTTTAGTTAAATTCTATTGAAAAACCTTTTTGGCTAGAATTTCTTTTTCACAATTTCTTGTACCCAGAGATCCATTTTGATGACTGTAATTGTTAGAAATTATAGTTTTAAGTTTTTTTAATGTTATGATAGTCATTACATTGTATTCATATACCTATTTCTGGATTTAGCTTTCTTCCATTGTGTTGGAAGGAGAATTTTTATCTCAAAAGAACCAATAATTCAAAGTTATAGATTTTTTTGTATGCATAAACTCAATGGTGATTTTGTTTTAAACTCAATGTTATGACTTACAATTTTTTATGTTGTTTGCTGCATCTAGGATCTATATTTTGCATTTAAGAAACTCTGTTTTTACTATGTCTAGGAGGAAGTATTTTGTGGCTAATGTTTTCTATTTATTGCACTAGGAAATATTTTTGCAACTAGGAATTTTGAATATTGACTATTTGTATTGCATCTAAGAACTATTTCTTGCTAATAGGAACCATTTTCTATTTATATCACTTACCTTTATTTTATGTTCTTCTACCATCTCGCTTAGACAAAATATTTGCTAGTAGGAGCTAATTTATATTAATGGGATTTATTGTTTGTGAAATTATAATAAGTACTATTTTCTTTTGCATCTACGGACTATTTTTTTGTTAATAGGTACTGTTTTCCTATTAGAAAGCATTTTGTTCTAATAGGAGCTATATCAGTAATAAAACATTGGTTAGGAGTTCAATTTTATATATTTTGTAGGCTTAGAAGTTGATGAGTGAAGATCTAGCATGGGAGCAGACAAGGAGCACATTCAGAAATCATTGGAGGCAGCACAAAGAGAAGACGTGGAAATACAAGGTGATTGAGGAGATAGGCAATGAATACCATGCACCTACTAGAGAAGATGAGAATGCAGAGTTTCTGGCCCATATGGAGCAGACAAGGAGGGCTAGTCTAGCAGAGATGGATAATCTCCATATTGGACAAATGGATATTGACGAGATAAATGCTAGACGGGCGGGAGATGCAAGCAGTATTCTTCCCGAGCCAGTGGCACCTCTCGAACCCGCAGTGCCTGGTATGGGAGGGCATGGGCCAGGGCTCTTTTGTCTTCCACCTTGAGAATGCCTTCTATATCTTCTCAACTTTCTAATAGTTCCCGGCCCTGGCAACCCCAAACCCACCCCTGCCCTGACACCAACCTCTTGAGCATTCCAAAATTGGGCCCAAATATCACTACAGGACCCTTCAATCCGTATAAGCAATTGAAGTTAAAGGATAATGTCAAGGGCAGTTGCAAGGTGGTTCTATCACACTGCTAACCCATTTCATGCAGCGAATAGTGGGATGATATGGGGAATAGAAAAATCCACAGCCTTGAAAGCGACAGAAAGAAAGCATGATAGTTGAAGAAAAGGCTGAAATTTAAGGTCCCAATTAAAGTAAGATTGCAAGCAGTTGTTTACATCATGAGGTGATCAAAGTTAACCTATTCCTTGTAGATTTTAAGCAGTCATGGCCTAAGACTGGGGTGATAATAATGTCTCATGGTTGAAAGGATAGGAAAGGGAGGTGCATTGTTAATTTCTTGATCTATTGCTCAAAAGGTACAATTTTCCATTCTAGTGTAGATCTCTCACAAAAAGAGGATCGAAAAACTCCAATTCAGACGACGCACTAGAGCAGTAGAGAATATTGGGGAACAAACTATGGTGCTCCTAATTACTAATAATGATATGTGAAAGAGAAAATTGAGTTTGGTGCCCTAGCTCAACTCATTGTATTGATCTCATGTTGTAAACCATAGCCCAGTCGATGTATGTGAGTTGTTGCCTTCGAAAAGGGAAAAGGATTGTGAAAATTGTATATAATCATTCTATCCTGAGCTAAATGAGACAGCATTGTGATCAAGCACTCAGTAGGCCTGTCATCATAAGATTTGCCACCTCATACTTGATATTCAAATCTATCCTAAGACAGCAAGCATGATTGGAGCAGATAGTGTGATGTAGGGAGGAGGGGAAAGAAAATAACTAAAGCAGAAAAATATAAGACAAGGGTTGAGAAATTATACCCTCTCAAGGTTTTTGAAGGAGTCTATCCCAAAGAGATCTCTTCACAAGATTCAAAATACATTCTTCTTCTCTTCACTCTTCTTTTTCTTGTCAAATGATATATTTATAGAAAAAAAACTAAAACATAACTTGCTCCCTAAGAAATCCTGTTCAATACTAAATCACAACCCTTCATCTTGTAAAAATTAAACTTCCAATTCTGCCCCTTAATTCTCTACAAACCAAAAAGACACAAATACCTCTAAAGAAAACTAAAAACCCAAAATAAACCCAAACCCTAATTTTTATTTCCTATAAAGTAAATAAATAAATAAATAAATAACTCGTTGCATCATTCTCCCGAGGTTAGGAGAAGCTCGACCTCGAGCTTGTTATGCACATGGCACTCTTTAAAGACCACTTGAATAGTTGGTTGATGCAAGGCGAAGGGCAAAAAGAAAATAAACAAACTAGAAAACTAAAAGATAAAATTCAAAGGTGAGAGAACATACCCTCTCTCAAGGTCTGTAAGGAAGTCCACCCAAAATCTCTTGACAAAACCCACAATAAATCTTCTCCTCGTTTCTATCTTTTTGTGGTCTAACGATTACATATTTACAAAAGAAAACAACTCCAAAAACCTAACTTGCTCCTAAAGAAATTCTAATTAATATTAAACCCAAGCCCTTCATTTATTTAATATTTAATTTCCAACTATACCGTTCAATTCTCTACAACTAAAAGAGACACAAATACCCCTAAAGAAAACTAGAAACTGAAAATAATCTTGAACCTAAAATCTAGAAAATAGTAAAGTAAAAGAAGTTAAAAAACTCATTACATTATTCTCCCATGGTTGAAATAAGCTCGATCTTGAGCTTATGGAATTTGAAAGTTCCCGTCATTGTCTTCTTC